CTTCAAGGGTGTCAGGTTCTGAAACGAGGCATGCCTTTAAAAACAAAGCAGCAGAAACATATATTTTTATTCTGAAAGCTGTTTAAGAGGAGCAATTCCCTCCCTCTCAGGTTAGTATACAAACGCCTGGCCCTATCATTATATATGGTTGTACAATGAAAGCAAATAAAATTGCCGTTCTTGCTGTTCTCCATTTTTGATGAACACACTGTATATATATATGCGAAGTGTTGAAATGCTCAGTTCAAGAATAAGAAGTTGTAACACATAGTATCAAGAGAAAAATGCTGGTTATTTGTACACAGTTGAGTCCTGTCATCAAAACATTAGGACTCCTATAGCACACACAAATGCATGAATTCCTTCTCATCTCCCACACGTACAAAAAGCAGAGATTTTTTTTTCTACATTCTTTAAATAGATGAATGATTCTGCCATCTTGTGGGAGACAGAGAAATTATAAAGATTTGAGGATAACAACAGCAGGACAGAACAGTATGGAACAGAAATTTCTTTTTTTTGACTTGTTTCACTATTCATTAAATGAACAGACATTAGTACCTAGTATACTTCAAATAGCCACAAAAATAAGAATGAATTACAGCCCCAAAGAGGAACCTGAGCAAAATGGATGATTTTTAAGATACTGACTTTACTAGAAAGTCTGCTTAGAAGGTAAAGTTACAGCAACTAAAAATCCTGATTTTTTTTCCCCTGATGATCTGATAATGTGAAATATGTAAAGAATTATGTAAATTCTCTCACATCTGTTAAAATACAAAAATGAGATAAGGATAATCCTTTCACAAAAGAGAAAAGGTAAAATGATACAGAATTATCTGTAATTAACCTTTTAAAAATGTTAAACTAACTTCCATGTGTGGATTGTGGAACACAATCCTCTATTAATAAGTCTAGAGCATAGTTTTACAAAATTAGTAGATTATTTTCTCATTAATTTGTCTTTGGCTGATACATGTTGTATCTTTATTCCTGGCAATTTAATAGACATGCAATATCGCTTGCTCTATCCTATCTTAATTCAACAAGGAGTATGCTGGAGTAAAAACTATTAATTTAAGCAAGTATAAATGACAGTCTAAGAGAAGAAAAGCTGAAAAAAATTATGGACCAGTTTCATCTCAAAGTAATTTTGTAGAGGGTCTCCTCCCACTCTGCCTTTCTCAGCCTGTGGGAAGCAAACAGTAGGTCCAAAATATGTATCACAAAACTGTATGTGATCCCCACGGCTCTTAGGAACCTCTGAAGCTCAAGAGAGTGGCTTCTGCCAGGAAAGATGAGGCTTGAGGTGGAGCAGCCTGAGACACACATTTATCCCTTGGCACTGTAAGCCTCCATCAGGGGAGTTACTTTGAGCTGTCCTCTCCCAACCAAAAATTACCTCAGAGAAACAAGCTCATCTAGATCATATTTCTTTGTAACAACTGCAATGAACTCATTTAGCAAATCTAATACAATGTCATAAGAAAGCTTCTTGGTCCCAGCACAACTACATTTGTGCTTACATAATTGCTTACTAAGACCATGATTTTCCTTTACAAATCAGCCATTTAAGCAAATAATATTTTGTTAAGCACTTTGAACATAAAGCTCTGAAAACCAGAATATAATAAGAAGAAAATACAACAATTTAATGCCATTATCTTTTCTTTACAATGCAGTCTGGGAAGTATCAAAAAAGCTGAGGCAAGCCTAGATCTCGAATTCCCCAACTCTGAGTGATTTGATTTAAAGATAGCTAGGGAACGCACTTCACATTGACAAACAACCCATCTACCTCTTCCACTCTGTCTCCTGCTTGTACCCCAGCCAAGTCTGCTGGGCCATCTCTTGGCAGCCGTGCAATCGTGAACCCCTGGTAACACAAAAGACAGGTTTCAGACCTGACAGGTTTTCTTTCATTGTTCTTAGATGTAAAAAGCAAACGGGAAGTAATTAATTTTCAAGACTTCTTGTTCTGCTGCCTCTATTAAAATAAAAACTAAATGTCTTAGCACATTAGCAACAACAACAACAAAAAAAAGGCTCCATGGCTGACACATACAACAATGAACAAAAGTCATTAATTGTTTACACTGTGCCACGGGGGACAGCCTGGGAAACAAAGATTTATTTAAATGGTAATTAAGTGAGAAGATGTGAGAAATACTTCTCTCAAATCAAGTTAGCTCCTGGGAATGAGCAAATGGGAGAGGCATGTGGATTGCCAAAGGAGCGACCCCAGGTTCAGGCAGAAAGTGGAAACTAGCCAACGGTGTTTCAGCCATCAGGTTGTCTTTGGAAAATAATTGTTTTACATTGGGTTTTCTCTCCAAATCATCCCTCCAGGAGCTTCCCCATCAAAATCTACTGCTGGCTTCTACTTTGGGAAATAAGTTACCCATGTTTACCCCTGTTAGCTATATTATGAAGACAGTGATGTTACATTGAGGACAACCTCTGAAAGAAAACAACAAAACACAACAGCTTCAAAGAACTGTTCAACAGTTTCTTTCTAACAATTACTAGATAAATTTTGAGTAATGAAATGCACCTCATCATTGTCTTTACATGGAGATGAGCCCTTTCCACCAGCAATGCTAATACCAAGACTCCCCATTTGACTGCACACAGTAATGGTTATCTGGAAAAGAATTATAATGGATAAGTGGCCCGATTAATCAAAAACTTTGGCTATTAATTACATGAGCAATGACAATCTACCTCCCACTGAACATCAGCAGATTTGCCCAGCCCAGAACAAAATGGTGCTATGCTTCAACACTGGCACATGCAAAACCAATCTTTACTCTTCAATAACACAAGAATGCATTATATCTCCAGGTTTTAGCATCATGCCAAAACCATATAAGGCTGTTTATAAGGCTGCTGACCAAACCAGTTGTTTCTTAAAACCCACCGATTTACTCAGCATTCACGATGGCAACAATGCCAGTACACAGGAGGAGTAAAAAGGAATTATTTCTTGATAAGCTGATGAAAAACCTTTGCTTTGAAACCTCACCTACAGCCTGATTTGCTTACTCTCAACTCTTTTGAGAACAGATAACTGAATTTGAGCACTATTACAGTCATTTTCTTTTCTTTAAACTGGCTTTCTGTATGTATGTTTGTATTGATTCCACCAAAAGATTTGACAGTACTCTAATAATTGACTTAAAAGTACAAATATCAGCAAGCTTTTAAAAAAGCAGCATAAATTGTAATCCATCTAGTCTATTCTCCTCCTGCTGGTATCAGCAAAAATTTAGTATAAAATCTTAAGATAATTTTTTGAATTTACAGAATTCACAACAAAGCCCAAATAAAATGAGTTTCAAGTTCCAAAGACATCTTACATTTAAGAATTATTCCTCCCAGACATTATTTTCTTTTTTTCTTTAGTATATCGTATGCTTGGTAATAAATAATAGTTTGCTAATTGCTAAAACAACAGTCACATTAAATTTAAGGAGCACCTTGCCACAGTGGAGTGGAATCTGAATGCAAATTGCATGTCACCTTATCACATTAGGAAAATGTTCATATTTTCATTGATTTGCTTCATATCTCTAAGACAATTCAGGCTTCAGTAACTTGTTATATTTTATAACTAAGTATATTTCAACACAACTGCGTTTCAAAATTTAACAACTGTAATGCAGTTACGCCTGCACATATAACATACTAATCTGAAATTCCCATTTCCTAAAAAGGTATGAAAATATCCTGTCAGTCATGAAAACCACCTGCCAAATGTTGCTTAGATGCAGCATTACCCGCACTCTCAAGATTTCACAAGCCCATGACTACCAGCAGTGCTTTGGTGACAGGTCCCAGCACAGGTGCCCCACTGGGGGCATCGCCTTTCCTGGCACTGCATCCTGTGATGCTGGGGATGCAGCACAATTCTGCTTCTCCCACCCCATGGGCGGTCAAGCAGAGGTGTGATCTCTACTGGGCCACCCCTGGGAGCCAACCCATAAAGCATGTTTCCTCCTCATATGCTCCAAAACATGCCAAGATGGGATATATCCATTGAGTTCAGAGTATAGCTTTGTCCATAAACTTCAGCCCAAATCTTGCAGTTGTCACTGATAAATTTTCACTTGAACATTCCCATCCCTTTTCACGGTATGGAGGCTTTCTCATGCCGTGAGGGTAAGGCCATGCCACTGCTCCTAAACCAGGGACTAAGTGAAGACTTAGCTGAGTGCGCACTTGCACACACCCTTGGCTTGACCTTACAATACCAAAGCTGGATATATAAAAGGAGACAGTATCAAATGGCAACAAAAGAAGTTTGTTTGGTTTTTTTTAATGGAAAACTATTTTTCCATAAAAGCTAGAGGGAGCAAGGACAAACCTCAGCTTACACTCTGGGAAAGTAAGTCTCATGACATCTACCATGCAATGTCCCCCCTTCTTTGCATCTTTTATAAACTGCTTTCCACAAGAAGCAGTCTTCCCCATGGACATACAGACTTCCCTGTGGACACGCAGACTTCCCCACGAACACGTGGAGCCCCGCCATCGGCAAGCCCAGCCCATGCAGCAGTTCAATACCTTCAGTGGGGGCTGCGGCACATCCACCGCCCTCAGTTCCTCTGGGATCCAGCCGCTCTTGCCAGGGAAGCTGCTCGCTGCTGAGACAGGTGGCTGCACCTTAGTGTTAGACCCTGCAAGAGTCTTCCCTTTTATTGCCGACTTGTGCTTTTCTTGAAGAGCTGTTCTGGTATTTCTTTGATCTCTCATGCTGTCATCAGTATCAAAAAGGCTGCCGGAAAACTTGGAAATAGGTTCCTGGGGGTTAAAGATAAAAAAGGTAAACACGGGGACAGCAAGGAGACTACCTATCTGATACCCAGACCCTACCCACGGTAAATTGGATTTGTTTCTCTCTATCGCATTGCTGTACATTAGGATTTGTTTCACTGAAGACAAAACTGCAACTTTAAAACAAACATACAATTATCTTTCTTTTACTATTATTTCTCTGGGCATGGTTTTCCCTCAACACGGGGGTGGAAATGTGGGAACAGGGACTGGGATTCATACAGCCTTCCTCTAGATCACCTGGCACACACAAGCAGATATAACACACATATACCCAACTAAATCCTGCAGTGCCCCATGGAAAGGATGGAGCATGAGAACAAGGCTATTTTGGGCACCCTCTGGCAGCTCAGTAGTACTGAATACACTGTCCCAGGGCAAGGAACCATACACATGAGGCAAAGGAAACGGCTTTCCACACAAAAATTAAAACATTTCTCATAGTTCCTCAAGGCTCACGTTCTATTTTTGGGAGCACAGGTGTGAGAGGGAAGGCAAGCCCCTACCTTGCATCTATGTCTCAAAGAGAAGATTTTGTTTAAGTAATTGGATTGACTTTATTCAGCTGCAAATGGCAATGAGTGGAGACCTGCAAACTTAGTGATTTAGAAGTCCACTGGAAGTGGAGCCTCAAAGGTGAGGCATCCCGAAGCCTGCTTTCAAGCCTGGCTCTAAGCTGTACCTACTCTCAGATGCAGTGAGGAACTGACAGTGTCACCCTATGCTTAGCTAAACCACAAGGGCTTGAAAAGAGAAATACACAATTAAAGCACATCCAGCAACAATTAAAGCTTCAGACAAGTTTGACTGCAAAACACAATGACATTTTCCAGTTATCAGTTCTGCTTGGCAAAGTGGCTAAATGAAATTCAGCCACGAGGTCCAAATTCTGTTCATATTTTACGGATGCTTTATTTATGTTTTGCTGATTTTTGCTCCATAATTTGATGGGTAAGGCTGAATCAGATCTTCGTATTATCATAATCCTTATATCTTCTGTTAGCAGTAAAATGATGCAGCAAAGGTCAACATCTTTGAAAATAAACCCCATAAATATCTTCCTAACCTTGGAAGTTTAATACCAGAAGTGAAAAGCAGTGGCATTACCATGAACAGCTGTGCAGAAACCCCACTGGAAACTTTATTTTTCAATCTATATCAGAGCTTTCCCACAATCTCTTTTTGGTTGGGATGGAAAAAAGCATTGCCAACCCCAGGGAGCAAGCAAACACGATTGCTTCCCATTTTCACTTAAGATTAAAAGGGAATTTGTTTAGCTTTAACTCACTTAAAACTTCCATTATCTTTCTTCTCTTGAGAGAGATTCATCTTTAACAGCAACAGGCTGACTAACCCTGACCCATCGGCAGATCTGGGGTGCCATGGGTGTTGGGGAGAAAGACCAGGACAAGAGCTGGGAGCAGGGGCTGGAGGAGGGGGCACACCAGCAGCAGTCAGGGGCTAGGAACGGAGCAGAGGTCCTGGCAGAGGAGCAGGAGCCCCAATTCCTCCCTCAACTCCCAGCAAACATCTGGAGGAAATACTGGTGAGCAATGACCTGAAAGGGAAAGGCTGCAAGAGAGCAATCACAACCTCCTTTTCCCAGGCTATGACTGAGACGACAGCCAAGCTGCCACCCAGGTGACAGACACCTGGTGGGCACAGGCTAGAGAAACCACAGCATTCAGGGTTTTCCAGATGTCAGCATCCTGGAAGAGCACTACCCAAAACTAAACATGCAGTGGAGTAGCACTACCACCTCACTTTTCTACCATCCAGTCCTTGGGAGACATTGACTTTCAAGCACTGCTAACAACCTGCTTACCTGAAAGAGATGGAGGGGTGTTGGTAACTGGGGATATGAGTAGGAGTAAAATAAAAAACATATGTATCTCATCATTGCTCAGGTTACTCATCTCAACCTGCAGGTTGCACTGCACTCTTGTGGGTTGAGGGAATTGTTTAACTGCAAGCAAAGTAAAGGAATAAAACATTGAACGTGATTCTGTACCCTCTGCACAAGCAAGGATGTGAAAGTACAAGCAGTGCAGCCTCCTGCTCACCCAAAGTGCTTGGCAGCATAGCACTGCGAGTGGATTGTAGTTTCTTGACAGACACACAGCATTATCCCTCTTGACTTCAAGAAGGCTACCTACATCATCAGGATCTTCCAGTTCCTCTGCTTCTTGCTCAGGACTGATCCTTCCTTCCCTCCATTTTCCATTGGCAGAGCTGAATTTGTACAGGTTACCACCATGAAAACTTTCCTTTCCTTTCGAAGAGGCCCAGCGAGAGCCCTGGGAGCTCCAGTGATGGCCACTGTACAGTTTAGGAGACTTGGGAAGCCACTTAATAGAGTCCTGAGAGGAAGATGCCAAAAAAAAAAAAAAAAAAAAGGCAATAAATAGATTTTAAGAAAGTGATTGAAGCATGTATGTGCAGAAATTGTCTGGCAAGTTCTGCGAGGTATTTTAGTATCTTGTAAATACTGGGTTTTCCCTTTTTACCTTGATAGGTACCTTCAGTCCCAGAGAGACACTTTGCCAGTTAACGGGCAATACTGGTGATAGAAAGAGCAAGGAAAGGCTGCTGAAATTAGTGGAAGCCTTCAGGGATTTACATGAGCGTGGAACCGAGCCCACCTTCAGCATCGTAAAGAAGAATTAATGATCAACAACAGTCTTCAATAATGTTATACTCTGTACTATTAAGAAAACAGACAAGAGTACTTAGACCTTTAGTGACTATCTCATCTCACGACCCGAGTTAAAAAAAAAAAAAACAAACTATGAAGTCACACCCCTCTTTTTATTATTCATTAAATAAAATGTTCCATTGGTTGAATGGTCTCAATAGAAAGTACAATACTAAATTGATCTTTTAAGGTTTGCTGATTTTCAAAGTGATTATAGTCCAGTTTTCCCAAAACACCCATTACTTATTTACATCCAAAAAATGCCACCTCTCTTCTTCATAGACAGAAGTTCATACATGAGGTTGCCTATACATCTTAATTTTACTGAACTTCAGAAGTAATTTTTCAAAGTAACCCTTATCTTTCTTTTAAGCTTTATTTTAATCTCGCCTTTACATTTTCATATGGTGACACAAAACCAATGGCAGAAAGCAGCCCGAAGCCATATAAATAGATACATTAACGCACACGGTCCAACAAGGCAAAGAGATGGAGAACACAAACTATCGGGAAAAAAATTATCAACAAGATTATGGTGGGGCTATCAGCAGCACGCAGCAACTTTCACATTGTTTAAACAGGCATTTGATTCAGATTTAACAATTCCTTAAGCTCCTATTTTTCCTGTTTAATGCAGAATGGTTATGTTCACACACAGAGAAATTTCTTGCTGTTATCAGCATCCCAGATGTCACCATGTCTATTAGATCTAAGGTGGAGAAAGAAAAAGAGATAGGACAAGGTTGTCCATGCTGGATATACTGATTCATCTTTGGCTGCTGATGGAGCTCCCCTTGGATTCTTCATTTGCTTTTAGGATGGCTGAAAAGACTAGGAAATGCACAAGGATAATATCTCAGCAACTTGTTGGAAAAGATTATGGACCTTTCTGTGAGTCTGAAAAAGACCATATCCCCAGCAAAGGATTATTTGCATTGTATGTAGAAGGCATGATTGGTGTCTATAGGAAATTTGCTGTTAAACCACGTTTTGAACCGCACTGACACTCAGTGATACCACCATTTGCTGATAAATAGCCCGTATTTCTGGTTATTCTAAACCACATCACTCAGGACACTCAAGCTGACTGCTGATTTAGTTCATCAGTGAATTGAATGCAAAAGCAGCACAAACAGTCACGACGTAGGAGTGGCTCCCGTTCCTCCTGACAATCCAAAACGCAAGGCAGGACATCTCTTGGTATTTCTTTACACTTGCCTCGAATAAAGGAACATTGGGTACCCTGAAATAGAAGCTTTGTTTCCTATGAATATTAACTAGGCGGATAGCAATTCTAATCAGATAGGTAAATAGCACACTAGCTGAAATTGTTTGCTATTGTTTTGGTCGGTTTTATTTCAGAATAGCTAATGCAACCCCTCCCAATGTTCAGGGTATTTCCAGAGACAGTTTAAATCCTTGTCAACTTTTAAGCTCATTAGAAAGTCATAAAGCAATTTCACTCTAAAAATAAACACAGGAACAGTGAAGCATTTAACTTCTTCCAAGGGAATGTCTCATCCTTGTTCGACCTCGATCCCTAATCCTAAAAAAACAGCTTCTCAAACTGAGCCTGCCAAATTCTGTAAGACCCATAAAAGGCTATTCTCTGAAGGCAACAGATACAGATTTCAAATTAAGCTTATGCTGACAACCACTTCACCATCTTGGGAATACATTCAACTGCTGTGGTAGCCTCCCCTATGTGTGAGGAGCAAGCTGATGTCCCGTAGATTTTACAGCCCTATGCCCCTCGCTGCCGAGCCGGGAAGGCTCCTGCACTATGCCTGTCTTCTCCTACAGCAGGATGCTTTTCCTCATGTTGATATCCGGCTATAAGGGACCTTCAGTGACTGCTTCACACCTCAAACCTTCTGTAACCTGAGAGATTTTAGTCTTCAGTATTCTTATCTACACTACTTTAAAGTAAAATAGAAACAAACTGACAATTTGGGGTAAGAGCTGTTCACATTTTCACTAGGTCTATAAAATACCACGGATGGTGTTATCTTTATGAAAGCAGTTTCACAGTTTGGTTACATCAACAAAAGATTGACTGCAACACCCAGAAGTGCCTTCTAGCCTACATTTGCACATACCTGTTGTAAGCGAAACACCCCGTGGACTACACTTTCATGAAATAAAATGGAGAAACAAAGCAGTGAATGCTGCTGCTGTGAGTGTAGGCTAACATTACTTTGAAAACAAATCTTAACCCTCAACCATTTTTTTTACAACTCGATCCTTTTTGATGAAAGAAAAGGGGGAGGGGGTGGAAATAAGAAGATAGTGGACTTTTAATCCAGAGTTCAGTAGCAATACAAGGTGAGGAACAGAGAACGCCACGGATGCTGTTGTTGGACCCACTGACTGCCAGGGCATTACTGTGGCCTGGCTCTTGGCATCCTTTTGGACAAAGCCACGAGGTAGTCAAGGTGCTACCCAATGCTGCAAGTTCTTAGGGAGGCCAGTCACACAGTGTTTGCTAAAAAGAAGAAATGGAAGGTACAGCTCTGCTTGCTGTGCTTTAATGCAAAGCAACCACTTGATCTGATTTTTTTTTTACTGGATTTTGTTTTCCCTCCCCAAAATAGAGAAATTCCTTACTCTGATGTATTAATGAAAATTGCATTAGATGGGCAATAAGCTTCCATCAGCCCTCAAGGAGGAAATTTCTACAGTTCAGCTTGCTAACAGATAGTAGATTTGCACTCCAAAAATAAAGCTATCTTAAAAAACCTCCTGTAATTTATTAGCCCATTCTCATTATATTAAATACTAGAGGACCAGGCTTTGAAACAAAAGAGGCTACTGGCAAATATTCTAATATTAAGAGAGAAAAATCAGTTTTCCTTACAGAATTTTTACAGATGATAATTGGTTTTCTTACTACCCAGGTAAGGTAGGAAGCTTCTCGTGTTTTATACATGGGCAAGCTGACACCCAAAAAGATTAAAAAGGTCAATGCTTTAAGTCGTTAGTAGCAAGCACAAAGTGAGGCACACAGATTTGCATTCTCTTAAAAATATCTGGAATAAAACAAAGGAAGAAGGCAAATTCAGTATTTAGGACTTTAAGCCTCATGGGTATTTGGACTGTGTAACACTGATGTTTTGTAAATGCAGGATAAGTGTTTGGAGGAAAAAAAAAATATTTATTGGCCCCAGCAGCTGTTATGTTCCATGGAAATCATTAGTAATGATCCTAACTGATTGGTAACAGATCATTTTCCTTCAGTATTTCACCAGCAAGTCAGCTGGGCTCCCTCTTTACCTCCTTTCAACACGTTTTTCATGTTTTCAAAGGCGGTCTCTTCAGAACATAAATACTCCTCTGTATCATACCCCTGTATGTTAGGAGGACAACATGTTCTCATAAAGTACAAGGTGCCTATTCAAGTAAGATCTCATTTATAAATCCTCTAGAGAATGAATTTCCTCCAGGCAACAGAGGTGTGCAAATGCTATGTATCACCCTAAATCATTCTGGCAAATGAAAAAGAATCCAAAACCACCCTAACATTAAAAGCCAAGACATGAAAACCACCCACATTTCTGAAGTACCATACTGAAACCAATCAGTGACACCGAAACACCCTGCTTACAGCAACAGCCTGGTCACCATCGGCAAGTAGAAGCCAGTGCTTTCAGTTACCTAGAATATTTCAGTGGTAATGCACCTGCTACTATTATTCAATTCAAAACCCCAAACACACATTCTTGCTTAACTAATTAGTAAATATGGGAAAGGAAATGTCTTTAAAGATGTGTTTCCTAGAATATAAACATTCTCTTCCTTTTAAGTGCAATTATACATAACGTATTCTACTAAACGAAAACTATTTCATACTCACTCCCTTATCAAAGCACAAAAGGCTGTCTCTAGAAGAGCTTTGTGTGATTCACATCAAAATAAGAATGAAAGCTAAACAAAATGCTGCCAAAACAAAGGCATCCTTGAATATGCTTACACTGTAGAAGAGGTACCTTAAAAGCTGCCTGAACACATTATTGAAGCAAGCCTTCCATGGGGAAACTTTGCTAGTGGTAATTACATGGCTTAATTTTAAACTTAGATGTTCAAGTATTAACTAGTCCGGTAAGATTTTTGAATTTCCTGAAAAAAAATAGTAAAATAATCCCATGTTATCCTAAAAACATCCATTACGCAAATGTTCTTCAGACTTGCAGTTTTCTCCCCTTTTGAATAGAAAAAAAAAAAAAATCATCAGCAATATTCAAATAATCACTCTTTTTGTTAGTTAGTTTAGATTTTGTTTTGGTTTTAAGTTGCTTAGTGGAAGTCCATGATGTCATCAGCAAACTATAGAGAAATTCACTCACGTTTATAATCATGTAGTGCTCTGTTTAATCTTCCAGAAATACAGGACAATCGTATCTGCTATGAGCTACTTCAAAATGGTTTAATGCAGCCTGTTTGTTTAGGGTTTGGGTAAAACTGGTGAGTTACTGGAGAGATGAGAAAGAAGTATAAAGTGTTTTCATCACTAGCATAGTCCAAGAAATTGCTTGAGCTCAGGACCATAAGAAGATAGTTCTAGTCCAACACAAAACTAACTTTGAAGAGTTAAGTCCTGTCTCTGCATTATTCTGGGGAAGCTTACAAACTGAAATTCAAGCTGCTGATGCTTTGGTGGTATTTGCAAGCTGTGCGTGCATCCGTGGATTTTGAGGAAAGTTACCACAGTCAGTACTTGTCTACAGCAGTGAGCGTTGCTAACATTTTGGGTATGGATGTCACCGTGCCTCCAGCTGCACATCCAGAGATTTCAGTCAAGACAACATTCTTCAGTAACAGATGAGCATGAAGAGAAAAGTCACCTGTATAAAGCTAAGCTACTTCTCAAGAGCTCAGCATTAACAGACTAACATCAGTGTTAAGAGGCACACCCTGAATATGTTATAGAATAAAAACGAGACTGCCATGAACCCTTGCTCCTGAAGTTAGGCAAGGTACAGTCCAGCCACTCACATCGAGCCCCTCAAAGACCTCTGCTCTGGCAGAACCCAAGACTAGCCGTCCCGTTGCCACAAGAACTGTACAAGAGATGATAAAACGCATAGTCTCTCCAACATCCACCAGAAGAGGAGATAAGATGGCTCCTGCAAGGCAGCTCACAAAGCTGTCCTCAAACCAGGCATCTGCATTTCCACTTTGAAAAGAATCTCACATTTTGCATTAAGCTGGTTGAATACTGATTATATTCCTGACTTCAGAGAGAGGAAGGCACCATCCCTCTGAAAATTTCACAACTGCTTCAGGAGGAAGGGGATACCCAAAACATTTATTGACAGCCAAACCCAGTCCGCTTTTCTCGTCTTCTTTGACAGCAACAGATTTGTGTTTGACAGAAACTGAAGGTGGAAAACACTCTTATCAAGCCAATTGAAAAACTAAAGTAATTTTATTTTCCAGAGTCAAGGCAGAGAACAGCAGTGAACTGTCCATTAGCAAAAAGGTCTAGACATTTCTGATAATGAGTATGCTCCGGTCTCAGTGGGAGATAGACAACTACAGTAAGCCAGGCTAGGATCAACTGATATACTAAAGAGTATACTTTAAAAAAATTAAATTCCTGGTGTCACTACTCTCCTCTCAAAAGCTGAATTCATGAGCAGCAAGTAGTGAAAGCTGTTAAGTAGCTAACCAGCTAAAAATGGTTCACCCAGCACTAGCAAAACGAAGCAGGCCGATGGGCTTGTCCCGGACACAAACAAGCCATGTGCTGGGAAGTACAGGGGTATGCAAGTTTCCAGCACTCACTTTCCCACAATACACTGATTATCAAAAAAATGGCATGTAAGCCAGAAAAATAATCTTGACACATAAATTATATGGAAGCTGTGGAAAAAGCCTGGAGCAATGCACAGGGGATGGAAAAATCTGTTTCTACACTAACAGTGGCAGCAAGAGAGTGCTTCTCCCCCCCAACTCTTGAAAACTATGGGATTGTGACTTTTAGTAAAGAGAACTCTCATGCAGTTAACTGACGGGTTAATATTAAATCTGCTCCACCACTATGGTCAATTGCTTTTCCCTGGTTACCTATTTAGCTAATAAAGCAGCATGCAAATTCTGCAGTGTTTCTTTCCTTGCGTTAGACCCAACCCCCAGAAGACATGCAAAGCAACTGAAAATGTAGAAAAAGTAGTAAAGAGGGAAAAAAAAAAAAACCCGAAGTTATGTTTACAAAATTATATTCATTGCTTAGGCTTCTCAAAGCATCAGCAAGTGAAAAGAGCCAGAGACTGCAAAGGGAGGGCTCATGTTTTCAAGGACACACACTGCTTCAGCGTAACAAACATGATCAGCTTTCTCTGGCTATAAAATACAGTTAGAACTGTCTGGGAACCTTATCGACACTGCTGAGAGGACAAGTGTACCTAAACCACTTTATGAAATGGCACATGTACAGACCATTCCAGAGATCAGACGCTAAAAACAAAACAAACCACAGACTCCAAACAAAAAACCATCATCACAGAACACAGAGTCTTGCTGCCTTTGGCTTTGGTCTTTCTTTTTTAGGAACTCATTTTCATCTCAGATGAGCTTGCCGAGGTTTACTTAAACTCTGGGTACAGAGTTTCCTACATTTTTAAGCTTTTGTTGTGTCAGTCCCAGTAAGTACTTTAAGAAGAAAATTCTGCCCAAGGTTGGACTCAAGTGTACCAAAACCTCATTTTCTTTCTGGTTTTATTTTAATGGCAGCTTACCAAGAACAACTGGCAGAACTCTGCCTTGGGAGGAATGAAATTGTGCTATCCATGAACTAACCGAACACTTATCAACCTGCAGCAGCTCCTGCAAAGAGACCACACCTTGAAGCCTCTGGGATGAGAAGAAATCATAAAAATTCATGTATTTTGCCAGGTTAGATTTGAATATTTGCAGAAGGCTTGCAATACCTACTCGTTCAATACCAAAAAGAAAGCAGTGCCTTTTATAAAAGCTTCAAACCAAAAAGTTAAATTACAAAAATTATCAAATATTGCAGTTATTAATTTTAACACAGAAGTTATTATGACTTCCCTGATCTCCTCCTTTCCCATCTTCTCCCAGAAACCCTCATACAACCAACGCTTACTGGAAGAGATGCTCAGCAGCACAAGGGATGTGGTTAGCCATACACAAAGTGTCCGGTCTTTCATTTTGTTGAAATTTCAGTTCATTGCATTAGCTCACACTCAAATCTTTGCTCTGAACTCAGAATGCTCAAGTCCCTGCACTGAACAAGTCAGTGGATTTGTTAGTTCATGGCACATGCAGAACCCAGAGATACCAAAATCAGTCTTTATGAGCCTTTTGCAAAATTGTTATTTGTTGAATTCAACTGACTTAATACTTACCTTTATAAACAAACCAGAACCCACAGATTTAATAAGACCTTGAAATCAGCATTGGACCACTGGAAGTGCAACACAGTAACAATGATAGTAAATTCCAATATTAATTCATACATACTTTAATTGCTATTTTAATGATACAATAAATCTACTGAAGCTTTTAAAGACTTTTTTTTATTATGGTTTTATATATTTATATAAAACCACCAAAGCACTTTCAAGAATCATGCTTTCTTGTGTAATACATAAAACTAGTGTCATACTGTGCTTCTGAAAGACTATCGTGCTGTTTTTCAAGTTATTTTACAGATGGCACATTTAAAAAAAAAAAAACCAAAAACAACGGAAGCATGAATTTCTAGTGACTGCAATGCAACACGGCATCCAAAACAAGATGTTTCATTACAACTAAGTTAAAGTGTGAGTGCATCATGTAATAAACAATAGCAATTTGGTCATTTTAATCTTAATTCTGTTTACAACAAAACTAACATTTGTGTTTCACGACCTAAAATCCCATGATATGAACATAAGTTCTCTGCTGTAAAAATCCCAACAAATCACTGTCCAAAAAGAAAAACATGTCTAAAACAGGAGACCAACTTTAAAGCGACTCACTTTCCTCAAGAATTGCTATATTTAGGACTACTATAACATACAAGACACTAAGGCACAACGGGTGGTACAAACGAATGAATACAGTTGTCCATGAAACTTGTTCTCTTCCACAAATACCAAAATATGTACCGCTCAAGATAAATTTTCTCTTAAAAATGAAATACATCATTTTGTTATGAAAGTCCTATACAAAAATTTAAAATTTACACCATCTGAGCTGCCAAAAAAATAAAAAAGTGTATCAATTTTCCACAAAACTATATTTCTCACCAGCACATCCAGCCACTGGGAAAAAGATAACCCAGTACTCTGGAAAAGAAAAGCATTATTTCCCCCATGTTTAAGACAAAAATATTGTATTCTGTATACAGTAGTGTATTATACTTAAAAAAGCCTAGCACTATTAAAATTACAATATTGATTTGGAAATTATTGGTTCACTGCCTGGATGAAATAAGGCACTTCCTTCCAGTGGGCAGCACTTTTCACATATATGGAGATGATGAATCAGGTTCTGGTTAAAAACAAAAAGGGGCTCAGTGAGGTCCCAGAAGATGACAGGAACATTTCAACAGCAGGGGAAGACACAGGAGGTAAAACCTGGAGATGAAACTCTACACAGAAGTGGTCACTCTGTCAATGGCATTATTGACCTCGTTTTTGTTTGAATCCAGTCCTTTAGCAGCATTCATATCATTCCGTAAATTCTCCACTGTCTTTTTCATGTTCTTTAATTCTCCAGGGTGTGGAGTGGCTCGCCTTAGAAGTGTTCTCTAAAAATAAACAGCGCAATAAGTGGTTTGGCCTTCGTCGCTTTGAAAAACAACATACACTTTCAAGGCTTTAGCATTCACATACTAAATATTAGGTATCAATTTTTTTCTTTGTTTCCCCCTTTTCCTTTTCAAACTATGATGCCCTATGTTGAATGTTATTTTCATAGCTGCTTGTTTATCAAGACAGTGAAAGAGGTTTTAAGAACTGTTAAGGAGCAAATTTTTTCCCCTCTTGACCTACTAATCTGAAAGCCACTCAAGTGAAGTACAATTACAAGTTATGAAGTGAAGATTCTTTCATAAATACAGTAGGGATTTTTGTTTGTTTTCACCCAAAACCCATCCAAGTGATTTAAGATCAGGTTTCAAAAAAAAAAAAAAAACAAACCACTATTCAGCTGGTTTTGAAAGAATCCCACAAGATCTCTTTACAGTGTCAAATACATGTTTGTGTGGAGCTCTGTATGCCTTCCAGCCCCACCACACAGTTTGGTTCTCTTGTCAGTTGAGAACAAATATCTTGAAAGGAAGAAGAGGGAGCATTTCTCTCCTATCTTAGACACAAGAACATCTAACGTCATTGTGCTGAAACCTTTACAAAGAAAACAAAATTTATGAAAACCCCAGTTAGCATCCAGATTAGAGACCAACAGAACACCAAGAATAATTGCACAAATATGTATTGGTATAATACATACATACATGCAATTACTTTTCAGTGGTATACATGTAAACTGCACAGATTACAGCAGAACTGATGACCCACGAACAGGTGAATTGGTCACGACTGCTTTGGAAATCCACCCTTCCTCCTCCTCACTATGATCATAAACTTCTTTTACCCCTAAAGAGGTTCTTGCCCCAAGTCAGGCTGTAATACTACGACTGAAAGCAATTATCATTAACACCTGAGCCCTCATCATTGTGTGGACATTCCTGGGTTGGCACAGTTGTTAAGAAGCAGCATTCTGAACTCCCTTATCAGTCAGTCTATGAATCACACTTGTCAGAGACATTTAGTGTCTGCTGCTTTGGATTAAGCAACCCCCTTACTTGAAAATTTAAACATTCATTTCCCTGCTAACTAAGAATTTTTATAGTCACTTTTAAGTAAGACCATGTTTCTAGTGTGCTACAATCCAGACAGTTCCCTTAAGTATCCCAGGCTAAGTTCTAGTGAGGACCACCAAGCAAATTTTTAGAGCATCAGAGAAGCACACTGAAAATCTGATTGAAGCAGCCTTAATCTTTACAAAGAGTTTTAATTGCTAATGAAAGTTAGTAAAGCTAAAGATCACATTGCATTTTGATCTTCAGGACATGCAGAGCCCAAATTAATGGAGAGGTCTTATAAGTACAGTGACAGATATTCCCACATCCTTTGTTTAAGTGAGAAACTAATGAGCAATGTTCTTGCTGTTTATGGACACTATGGTTATGTCAATGCAAATGGTGGAGGGGGAAAAAAAAACAAGAAGAAATTAAGAGAGAGAGAAAGAACGAGATTGGCAATACAAAACAGAGACAAACAATGGCAAACTTAATGAAGACACATGCCAGCGTGCTGGAATCCTAAATTAGATCCTATATACTTTCAGGCAGTAAAGCTTCACAGATGCAGAGAAAGATCCTATCTTGTTTCTGGAAAGAAAACATCCTGAGCAGACACAGGAAAACAAAGCAAAACAAAGACTGTCCTGCATCAAAACATAAAGTTATATTCAAAGCAGAAAAAAAAAGGAAAAAAAAAAAAGGCATTTGGAGTCAATATGAGAAGTTTTGGCAGTCAACATGAACAGTTTCTGGTACAAACATACGCAAAAAGCATGCAGTCACAGATGAAATATTTACAGCAAGAGCTCAGATACTTTTTACACTTTCGCACTGAAGTCACAGCGCCTGCAGGTATCCAAAGACTTGGAAAACATACCATTTCATTATCCTCTTCATCTTTTTCATCTTCTAAGAAGCGAATTGCACTGACTCTATTCACTGCCCGCTCATTCCATGTTTCATCTGACATTTCATTTACCAAACTCTCCAGAGCACCACATCGTGGTAGGTTATCTGTTAGAACAGCAAAACGTAACTAAAGATTCACAGCAAGTCTAAAACATAAACATGCTATATTGTTAACAACTGCAATATCCAACCAATCACTCATCCAAGATTTACAATTGGCTATTGATATATTTTTGATAGAAAACAGAACTTGCATTAATTTTCTGTTATCAAGTATGCACAATAAATAGTTTCTGTATAAATGAGAGATTTCTCTACTTGGACTGTTTCAGGTTTGTGGCAGTTTTGGAGTACTGATTATATAATTTAACATACTTGCTTTTCTTCTGGATCATGGTTACCATCTGACATTAGCCAGTTCCCTAAATGGCACTCTGTAACACCGGGTCATTGCTTCTACAGACCTCATCCTTTTAGTATTGCTAGGCATACACATCCAACAATCTTAATTCCAGGCCTTCTACCCTGAAGCCGTGAGATTCATTTGGAGAGGAGGAAATCTAATTTCTAGTAGTGAGGCCTTTAGAGAAAGTCAGTCTACCACAGTTACTCTTCTTGAGCTAGCTTAATCTTCTCTAAATGTAAAGGGGTTAATTATTTTAACTCTTGATGCTATTTGGATTCTTAAAATCCAGAAACTGACACAGAGCAGAGCCATTTTTACACTTCTACTGCTTAATGGTTCCTACTTGCTCCAGCTGCATAGTATTTAAAGAGTGGAATTAATCTAGCTAAGTCTGGGTATCTACAATACAGATAACTACAGCCGAGCCTTTCTCCTCAGGCCCCCTTTATACTCAGTGGAAAAGAATCCACATGGTTTCTTTTCAAAGTCTGTTCCTGGATGGGATAAATTACTCTCCAATGATTACAGAAAAACTGTAAATATTAGCTCAGAGGAATCCCTTTGATTGTTCACACATTGCTATATAAGCTTGAGGACAAAAAACATCCAGAAGTTACTGGAACAGCAAGCCAGCCAACAGTGAAAAAGAGTTTATGGTTCCACCTGACCCAGAGGCAACTTTCATCACAAAAGGTAAAAGCAACTTATAATGCAATTCTACACTTGTTGAAGGATATAATAAAGTTACTGTATAGCATCCTTGCTTAAAAGAAAATCAGTTTGCTAAAAAGTAAAATGTCTACCGCTTATTACTAGCTATGCAATTATTTTTCTGGTAAGGAAATTGTAGTTGGAAAGCCACAAATTTTCATGACATCTATATCATTTAAGATGTATAAACAATGTACACAAATATGGACACCACTACTTGGCCCGCTGGCAAGCCTCAGAATAATGACATGACTAAGTCTTCTTCCAGGTCTGTATTGTATTCATCGTAGCTAGTGTCATCAAATTTTCAGTAACACCCACAGCCACATTTACCAAGTCTTCCAAAAACTAGTATGATTACAAAAAAAAAAAAACAACAACAACAAAAAAAGTTTAAAAGTGAAAATTCAACCCGAACTTTGCTACTTCGCTCATTAGAGATGACACATGTTTTACAAAGCTTTATGGAACAGATAACACAGTAAACAAAGAAGTACTTCTACACATACTGAAAAACTGCCTCTAGGCACTTACCTTGGCAACCAGGCTCAGAAGGCATTTGAGGAAGTAATACACATGTTAAAATCTTTTCTCCTGTTTCAGGATCTGTGTCAGTCTGAAACGTCAGCAAAGGTTGGGACTGGTTATCAGACAACCACAAAGCCTTCAGCTTTAATGTAGTCAGTGAGATGGGAAGATACGTCAGCCTAGTTCAAAAAACGTAAGTAAAAAAGTCAGGGCAATCTCTAGGAGATTTAATATATGGTCATGAAGTCAACTCATTCCCTGAGTTGGAGTAAACAGGATTGAGATTCTCTGTAGCTGTGAATAACAGGTAACAATGCTGAACATTTTCTACCGCAGTAAAATGCCCTGGAAGGCAGACAGCTGCCTCTGCTCTGGAGCTTTACATATACACAACTGCCAGAACAGAAATATGTAAGCGCCTATGAGACAATTACATTGCATAGATGAGATGCCATTTGTTTTTCCTCTTTTTTTTTCTTTTTTTTTTCTTTTTTTTTTTTTTTTTTTTTCTTTTTTTTTTTTTTTTTTTTTCTTTTTTTTTTTTTTTTTCCCCATTTTACTTCCTACTAAACAACTGAACTAATTTGCTGGTTTATGCTTCAATCCACTCCTTTTTGCATTTTGGTGTCTGAAACATATCAACTAAGATTCATGAGAAGCCACAAGGTCAAAGTGGCATTATTTGTTACTTGCACTGCACCTCTAAGATAAGACACTCAAGATTAGTGTTACTTGACATATAAGGCTGGTAGTTTCAGCTGAAGCTCTACCAAATTGCCTAGATTCCCAATTTTAATTCAGAAATATACAAATCCAGAGGGTTGTTTTTTTTTTTTTTTTTAATCCTATCTTTTCCTCAGGGTCAAAGCAATCCAGAAAACATATTCATGGCAACAGACAATTTGTGCTACATTGGGCCAAGGGGGAAGACTACTTTGACCATTTCAACAGTAATGCTAACACAAAAGTCATAGCTGGTTTTTCATTACTTATTCTTAGACATAGTATCTTTAGTTGTTAGAAAGAATTAAGTGAATCCAGCCAAAGAATATAACAACAGAAAAATTCTCATACCTGTTTCCAGCAACATCCAGGACATGAAGTTCAGTGGCTTGTGAAATTTCAGAGGGAATTCGAGATAATCTGTTGTCACGCACAGAAAAGACATTAAGACTGCAGCATCCCCCGATCTATATTAGAGGGGAAAAAAAACCAAAAGCCTGGTTTTGTTGCAGTACGATAGTATAAACAAAGGCATGCAGTACGGGTCACGTATTATGTCATAGCGCATTCAAGTTACAATGCCTGCCAGAGGCTTCACCCAGAGGTACAGACTGCAAACAAGTGTTTGCTTAAAAGAAGCCTGACCTCAAGCAGTTTCTTGAACAGCTGTATCTGCAAATAATGTAGATCTTTACAAATAGGTCGGGTTCTACCTACCTTTTAGAGCCTTCCAGGCCAGGAAGAGATAGTAAACACACAGATGTCACTTTGTGGACAACCCTCACAAAAAATACTGGCTTTAACTTTCAACTTTTTCCAGCTCTGTGTTTTACACATTGATTCTTTCTTTCCTCTCGGCAACTTTAGATACAAGCAAGTGCAATGAGGCTTTAGGCAAGGCAAAATGCTAAATAAGCCAAAATCGACTCCCAACATTTATTGAGTTTGCAAAGAGTAGTGAAGAGTTCACAAAAATTAGAAGACTTTATGAATAACATCTCTGATGCCCTGTTTTATTAGAAGCATCCAATTTCAAAATGATACCCATATGCACTGGCCAATTTAATGTAATATCCTCTGCCTCTACCATTTTATCGAAACATAACTGTCTTCATTCCCAAGCTAATTTTTTGGTGCAAAAGATATGATTTTTCAGTTTTACCCTTAAAATATCTATATATTGCATCAAACGTACATGTTCTCAGAAAAATAAACCCTCTGCATTTGATTAAAAAAAAAACCCAAACACCACAACATTCCACCTTTTTGTTCCAGATGGCACTTACTACTCCTATAAACACCAAGAATATTAGTTTTAGCAACCTGAAAGCTGTGTCAAGTAACTCTTTGTTCCTATTCACAAAGGAAACTTACCTTTATTTGCTTATCATACTGAGCTTCAAAAAGCACTGCTGTTTGTTTGCCAGTTTCAAAACTCACCATGAGAAGGGGGGGAAAAAATGTTTCTTCTCTTACTCCAAGTATTACAAGCAAGTATTACTCCAAGTTAAGTGGACTTAGAACCTAACTATAGACAGCAAACCTACTGAAAGAACTTAGTTCAAAAATTAGAGGACTTCCATAGTCACACACGTGTAAGAAGGTTCTTCTGTCACAACATAGCCAACATGTCACTACACCTTGGTCAGGAGTCCCCAGATCTGAGCTGAAATTACTGATGTGTTCCAGTTAACTGTCAGTTCCGTCTTTGCAAAATCCATGATTCAGTCCAAACCCATGTTTGAGGTCACAGACAAATACCGCAAAAGCTTTTCCACTAGTCAAAGTAAAAATTGTGTCAACTTAACCTACGCTATTTACCAAGGAAAAAGCCATTTTTAAAAGGGTGCAACTGTGACTTAGAAAGTAAAACAAAGAAATGGAGCATTTATACCCCACTCACCTTCCTTTGTATCACAAATACATTTTAATGGAAGTAAGCAGAGATCAGCTGCTCAAGGCTTCTGACTCACAAGCTATTTACAGCGCAAAGTTACAGCACAAGCCTCTCTGGACAAAGCAAAGTCTGGGATGGTTTCCCTCAAATCACTGCACTCCAAGATGCAGCTATTTCACAAGAATATCAGCTTTCCTGGCCCTGCATGTGCACTCGAAGCAGCAACCTTGTTAGCCATTTTAGCTCGTGAATCAGAACCCTTAGAAACCAGCGCTCAAATCACGAGCAAACGTTTCTTAGTGCAGTAATTCTGCTATTCGTGTTAAAGCATGTATAGGTTCTTAAATATGTGCCTTGACACATTCACAGAATACAGTGCCATATAGAAAAAAACCATATATATACACACACTAAGTGTCTAAGAGGTGTATCTAACATGAGGAGCTGTGAAAAGCAAGAGATACAATTAGTGAATGCTGATGAGCTGGCAAGTGATGCCCTAACTGTACACAAAGTGCTCACTTTTCCATGAATGAAGTTTGCGTTATTCAGTCTTGGAGCATGGAGATCCAAACAGTTTAGCCAAACCAAGTAAAGCCATGCAGCCCTGATGAGACCCAAACTTCTGTACTTTTGACAATGGGAAAATGCAGCAGCGGAACCAGCCGGCCTGAGTCATCATGCATTTGAAGCAGTTTAATGAAAGGTAACAGTGGAACCGTGGACTGAATAATACTTACAGGGTTATCAATTTACCTGACCCATAATTTTCCAAGCGGCTAACAATTAAGAAAATACAAGAGATGTTCAATTTATTTTTCTTTATCCATACTGGACAAGAACATGCCAACAAATGGAGACAGAACATACATTCTTCTACTGCCAAAAGAGGGTTAGAACTCCTAAGATATTTTAACTTTGCTCTATCAGTCAATAGGCAATTGTTCAAAGGTAACTGTTTTTAGGAAATGCAGGCAGCATCTAACAAGCAGCATCAGGTGAGATATCACAGAGAAAAAAAGACAAACTGACGGTTAAAAAAAACCAACACTAAAATCTTTGTAAGTTCAAAAAAAGATCACACCCATCCAGCAGTACAGAAAGACATCAGGTCCAACGTTTAAAAACCTAAACACGAAGTGGTACCACTGAGGCAAAGTGCACACACTAAATGGCATGCCAAAAAGAAAACATCATTGTGGCCACCATGAAGTAATACGGTATCGGAATGTCGCTGGTTTGGCTGAGAGTCATTAACTGACAAAGAGCCATGCTTTCCAAGGGCTTGATCGCATGCTTACAACAGACTTTGCCAAACCACCGCATGGGCACCAAGTACACAGTTGAGACCACAAGCCCATTTAACAGTTAAGCACACAGTTCATTTGGAGCACAGACTTCAATTAATGGGGACAAGCATGTGCTTAGTTCTAGGCACATGAGTAACTGTTCCAAAGACTGGAGGCTTAAAGAAGTCCTCACGTTTTTCTGTAGTGAGCTAGGCATCAGGAAAAGGTCTCAAATGAGTTGTGCATGTCTGTCATACTCCTGAGAATTATTTCATTCTAGCAACTTTAATTTAAAGGTTATTCACTTGTCTCATCCCACCATCTCCAAAGAACAGTCAGCTCAGATAAAAAACAAAAACAAAACCACAAAACCAAAATCCATGTATTAGTCAGGCAGAAAATGATCATTACTATGAAGCGCTAATTTTGAGATCACTGATTTTACAGTACTGTAAAGTCTGAACAAAACTGATTATTTGCATTCAGTGGACTTGCTTCAGAGGACAAGTATCACTAGGACCACTCTCGGTTCCACACTAGACTCTACCCTTATGAAGGATTTTTTTAATCTTTTCTTCTTTCTCAGTCTGAGGCTCATCTTTCCAACAGCTTCCCTGTTCTGTAAAAGCAGTAAGGCCTGGGCACACATAAAGAGGATGCCAGCTTGGCTGCTAAAACTGCCCTCTACATTGGGGGTTGGACTAGATGACCTCTAGGGGTCCCTTCCAACCCAAAACATTCTATGATTCCGATCATAACCAGCATTCACCACTTCAGTCTCCTACTTTTTTGACATCCACATCCACACTGCCAGTCCATCTCAAACACTCCTCCAGAACTCTAAGTCTTACCACATCACTACTCTGCTGATGTTTCTGATGACTCTACCACTGCAGACAGATTGTTGTTTTGACACCTGCATCAGCTGTGTATTTTCGATCACCCGACTTTTACTGTGCTTCTCTGTTACAAAAACCTGGTGGTGGTTGCTATTTGATTTTTCTTGCTGTTGACACCTTTGCAGCTTCCTGGAGGTAAACCCAAGAAGAGTGTACAGACTCATCCCTCTCCTCCCATTTAGATCCCTCCCAGAAACTCCCATTTGCTTCCTCTCTTGAGTCCAGCTGTTAGTTACAGTCATTCATCACCACAGACCAAATTTTACTGATTACCATGGCACATCCTCACATTGTTGGTGCTTTAAAGCGAAAACACAAGTTAAAGGTGGGAAACTTAGAAGACCTTCAAGTTATGTTAGCTGTATAACAATTTTTGATCTCAGCATCTGTTAACTGCTCAAAAGCTACAAATCAATTCTGCTGTCCTTTACCAGTTAGCACCTTTCACGCAGGTATAAGCAATTGTATTTGGTTTGCATGGCCAGGTTTTGGTAGCGGGGGGGCTACAGGGGTGGCTTCTGTGAGAAGCCGCCAGAAGCCTTCCTGGTGTCCGATAGAGTCAATGCCAGCCAGCTCCAAGACAGACCTGCTGCTGGTGGGACTGCACCCTGTGGAAGGACCCCATGCTGGAGCAGGTCATGAAGACCTGCAGCCTGTGGGAAGGACTCATGTTGGAGAAGTTCATGGAGGACTGTCTGTCATGGGAGGGACCCCGGGCTGGAGGAGAGGCAGAGTGTGAGGAGTCCTCCCCTGAGGAGGAAGGACTGGCAAAGACAACCTGTGATGAACTGACCCCAACCCCCATTCCCCATCCCCCTGCACCACTCGGGGGGAGTAGGTAGAGAAACTGGGAGTGAAGTTGAGTCTAGGAAGAAGGGATGGGTGGGGAAAAGGTATTTTAAGATTTATTTCTCATTATCCTACTCTGATTTTGACTGGTAATAAAATTAAACTAATTTCCCCAAGTCGAATTTGTTTTGCCCGTGACGGTAACTGGCAAATGATCTCTCCCTGCCCTCATCTTGACCCAAGGAGCCTTTCGTTGTGTTTTCTCTCCCCTGTCCAGCTGAGAAAGGCAGTGACAGAGAAGCTTTGGTGGGACCTGGCATTCAGGCAGGGTCAACCCACCACAGCAATGCAAAAAAAAATATGACGTTATGAGAAATACCACAATTATTCTTTATCATGTGGCTAGGTAAAGTCCAGAGACATTGCTTTTACTCAACTCTCAATACAGCTATCAGCATCAAGAACTCTCACTAGGCTTACGCAACTTGGATAAATATATTGGGAATTTAAACATAGTTCCTATTTTGTTGCAAAATCTTTTCCAGGGTGTCATAACCAAAATTTTGTTTGGATTCAAAGTAAATAAAGTCAGAATTTTCCTTGTCCCCAGATAAAATAGATTAGTTCTTTAATTGCAAGCATAGAATACATTTAGAGGTAAAAGAAATTGCCCAATTCACTATTATTATCTATTATTCAATTACTAACAACTTTAAATAAGCTAAGAAAAAAAATCTTCTGCAAACTCACTTAAACACCCCCTGCACCACCGGTGAGTAGTATGGGAGGAGCACAGCAGTATTGCCTCTCTGCCCTCTGACTCAAGACAAGTTTTCCTGCATTTTTCCTTAGTGCTTTTTTTCCCCCCTGAGACACACAAACACATACTTTTACACAAATGAGGGTAGGGACAGGACATCGGAAGTTAAAAGCAGAAACAGCAAAGCAGACCCAACTTGTTTAAAAAAAAAAAAAAAAAAAAAAAAAAAGAAAAATGTAAAAAGCATAGTTATTGCCAAAAAAAACCCTGCAGTTTTACCTACTGTAGTATTAATTCTTAGCCACAATGTACCTCAGAGCCAGGAAGGACACATTACCAGATCTGTACAGGTTGTAGAGACTCATTAACAAAAGCACATCGACTGGAAAACATTCCAAGGAGGTTATTTATGCAAGTGCCAAAATCAACACACTAGTTTCACCAGCGTTCCGGTGCCAGGGTGAGATTTCAATACCAAAGAGTCACCAGGCAGGTCTTTCAAGTTTAAGGGGAAAAACATTTGTAACTGTGAACAGGTTTAGACATTCTCAGTTCTCGCCGAAGTTTGTTTCACCACTCAATTCAGTGAGAGAGAGATGAGATACAGAAGATGAAATCTGTCAGTGACTCAAGTCTTGGTCAGACATTCAGCTGGTCCATGTTTTACTTTATACATCAGCACCAGATACAGAAGAACCTTTGAACCAGGAAACTTTGAAGGATTATTTGCATACAAGCTCCTCAATAATCCCAAGTCAAGAAATCTTACACCAAAAGGTAGAGACTGGTTTCACAAGTGTGCATCGAAACAATCTGGCAATGTAATTGTTTGACAGGTTGACCCAAAATCCAATCCTAGTAAACTGCTAACCAAAAAAAAAAAAAAGCAAAAAAAAAAACACCCCACCACCACCAAAACACAAAACCAACAACCTCAAACAAACCCCAAAACCACCAAAAAAAGCCCCACACCACCACAAAAAGGCTAGAAGTCATCTCACCAGGTTATATTAGAGCAGGTACATAATTTCTGCCATCATAAAAAAATCATAGGTCTATAAAAGCTCTCTTCACTACAACAATGATTCTGGAGGGAAGGACAGAGACACCAGCAAGTAGGTATTTGGTACATGCATTCTTCTCCCTAGTAGAGTCCCATCTTCTCTGTACGCACGTTATCAGGCTGTGTCTTTGTCCCTCTCCGACAGAAACCAGTAAAGGCCTGTCCCACATCCATTTCTTACAAGGATGAAGGCCACAAGTGCACAGCTGTTGGGAGCACTCGGTAAGGCAGAGAAAGAACAAGAGAAAGTGGGAAGGAAAAGAGGGAAAGATACCGAGCAAGCATACCTGCAGTGCATACTCTACTTCTGCATCTTACCCTGCTTCTGTGAAGGGGGAACCAGCATACAAGTACTAATACTGATCAATGTGTTGAGGTCCAAGACCCCAGTCTTTGCCATACTATCTCAGGGGACACCTTAAGCAACACGCAGCAGGCAGGGGTGTTGAAAATGACTGCTATCAGAAGCTCATGCCTGGCTTTGAACATAATTAGTCAGTTTAACATGAAAATAAATGGAAAAGATGGTATGCTTTCCAACTGGCAAGCAGAACCTTCCAACAGACAGAAAGAGGGCAACACATTTTTCAGTTTTCCTTAAGTGCTCTACCAATACATTTTGTATTACTTTTTTTCCCCAAGTCAGTCATGATGAGAAGGAAAATGGAAAAAGAACACCAAGACACCAAATTGATCCTCCCCGCCATCCAAAGAGAAACTCGGAATTGGGATCTTTGCCATTATCAGCACCCCTGAAGCTGCTCCTGCGGATGCTTTGCGTAACAGCAAGCCGCACTCATTACACCTGTGCACTGCTTATGCAAAATGTTTTTCTTTTACAGCTATGAAATGTGACTCTTTACTGAATTCCTCTGAATTTTAACCAGAAAACTTGTACTGCAGAAATGTTCATGTTTGGTTTAAAGCAAAAAGCTACCAGTTAAGAAAAATATTACACAAAGAAAACACAGCTCCAGGAACAGGCAAAACATGAGCAGAGAACAGTAGATTTCTGTTTTCGAAACTGGCATTTCAGTGTTGTTAGAAGGCAATCTAAAGACTTTGAGGGGAAAGTGATTTATTGCACAGCCTAAGTACAAGGAATCGAAACTGAAACTTGAAGAATTGAACCTGAAAACTCTCATTAGCTAGACAGTAGGTTCTGCAATATATGCATATTAACAGTATTTCTGAAGGAAACCGTTGTATGAGTTGTTTGTGCTTTCTATTTGTCACCATCATTCGTTTCATCTAGAGGGTGGACACGGCCCTCCAACTGGAGAAGGACTGACTTCCTTCAAAAATAAAAGAGTTTTAGAAATCCACAGAGCAAAACATACTTTAAGGAAGTGTTCTGGAAATCTTACGTTAAACATAATTTCAAAGTGCTTGCTCTAATGAGATAGATACATAGGTGTGGAGACCTTTACCGTGTGTGTGGGGGCGGGCGGTAAAAAAATCTGTTTCAAAGAAGTTGATGCCCAGGAGCTTTGTTTCCTCTGTTTCTCGCCAAGCTCCCTGGGAACCACCCTTTCCCATCTTTATTCCCTGGACTATCTACAGCTCTCCAGCTCACCTATGCCAGATACCACCTTCCATTTCCTCATCACCCACCTTCTCCAAACACAGACTCATCCCTGACTTTATTCCACCCCCTGTGCGAGTGTGTGTGTGTGTGTGTGTGTGTGTGTGTGTGTCCCCTCATGTGCACTAATGTTCTCCACACACGTTCTTGTTCTTCACCCTTGGATGTCCTCAATTCCTTCACCAACTGGGCTACACTTTCCACCTCAAACCCATTTCTGGTTCCAAGTCTCCAGTTTCTTCTTCAGCATTAATCCCTTTGTTGTTCTGCACCGAGCCCTTGACTCTGTTATTCCCCCCAAACAGACACACTCCATTTTCACCCTGCTTTATCTGCTTCGGAAGCTGAGCCTTCTCCTCTCACCTGCTCCTGTCCCTGCTCCTTCCAAGACACACTGCTCACCCTCATGCACCACCTCCATTACCATGAACTTCGTCAACTAAGAAAAGTGCTTATACACTACATAAGCTCTTAATGGCCAATCTGGAAATAAAGTGCATCAGTAAAACCTTACACATTATAACAAACTCAGAGCAATTCTTCTTAAAGGTGGACTAGACACAAAATTGTATGAGTCTTAAGTATAGATAGTTTAGGACACCCGTGTAATATATTAAATTAAGCTCTTTGTTAAAGACATGGAAAGTTTTCTGCTGAAGGAGCACAAGATCAAAATTGCCATCACATCCTAATCCAGAAACATGGTTTTCCCAAGGTCCTGCCTCTTGCTAGCGTTTATGCTGCCTGTCTGGGTACGCCCTCTGCAATTTTCTGTTCAGAACCAGCAGCACCTCTGCAGAGGAGACATTGTCCTGTGGAGGAGCTGCCATACTCACATCTTCCCTCCCTCACCTTCAAACATACACTTAGAAGCCAATCTGCCATAAGGGCTATGGTGGAGCCCCAATTAGGTGACCGACCTGTGGCAGCTCAGACCTGCGACATTGGAATTGTTGCTGCCAGTGCCACAGCAGTATCCCCTCCCCCTGCTCAATCCCTCCTCTTCAGACCACCAGCTCTCCCCCATCTCACGGTTCCCAGCCACTTTGCTTCCTCCTCACACCTCCTCCTCGAGCTGTCCAACCTCCATAAGTAAGCGGGCCTGAGCAGAAGTGTGTGCTCACTAGCCAGAGCTGATACTCCTCTCAATACCCATCCATCGGCTGCCACCTCAGTACGAACCCCTCCTGCTCATCCTGAAGTGACTGAAAGTGGTGAACAAAAGCTACAACCTCAGAGCCACATCTTAGAAACGGACAGGAAAATTAAGGGGGAGAACTATTTGACAAAAATTACAGAGAAATAGCAATGCAAACAGAACCAACTTGCAGCCCTGTGCTCCAACCACAGGACGCTGCTTCCCCGAATCTCTTTCCAGCATTTACTACTGAACTAACTTGTAAGGTCTTCATTATATTCAGTCTCACAACAGAAATTCTAGCCTCATTTCATTCCATAGACTGCTGCAATAGACAAGAAGTCCTAGTGATCATAGCTGTAAGATTTGAGGCATCAGTGATCTTGGTCATGTCAGGTCCTCATATTGTCAAAACAGTCTCTGAATCATTTTTCAGAATAAGAAACCTTCCCTTGCTATTGCTCACAAGACTGAGGCAAGGAAGACTCCGGCAGTGTTTTTATATTACATGCAGAAGAGGCATATTGATGTTTAAATGCATTCACTCTACCAGTACTCCCAGTCTTCAAATAGTGCTGGACCTGACACCCACACTGGGAGCTACTAGTTACAAGCTAACTAGATCCAAGTCTTCTTGTTCAACTGCAAAGATGTTTTGCACTTCCAAGCCACCAAATCACCACAGCTGCTGTTCAGATTTATGCTGTTCAGATCTAATGGACAAGTTTCTGGTTGTGACCAATTTGGGAAGAATACACAGTGGATCAAAGCTGCCTGCTACTTCTTGTAGGCATTTGAAATCAAGAGTTTTCTGTTTGTATAATCACATCTGTGAAAGTTAATTGCACAGAACTTACCTCTTTGGGCAAAGATGTTAATTTGTTTCTATCGGCATTCAAATTGTTCAGCTTCTTTAGTTTTCCGATGCTCTTCGGCAATGACTGTGCCAACAAAAAATAATATGCAGACAGAATTTGTAAATTCACAGAGTCAGAACAAAGCTTATCTCACTTTAAAAATGAATTAATAGACTGATCCATTTTTAAAACTGGAGTGTAGTTAACCCTCATTACTACTAGGCCTCCCAAAAGAGATCCAAGGTTTTATCTGCAGAAGAAATGTCCAGGGATGTTTGTTTCACTCATGAGTTACCTCTGCACTAAGATGACAGATGCACAACAGCTGTGTACAGAAGCACGTATGTGGAATGTCCATATTATCTAACTTTAGGCTCTTTAAATAGGCAATAGAGATGCAAGCTTCTCACTTAGGTGCTATGAACTGACCTCCTGAGAAGCATCTTTCCAACAGGCTTAAGCTCCTAACTCAAACACCAACCTAACTTAAGAAAACGCTCAAACCTAGATTTTTATACACTTCTATTCTCCAAGTGCCAGTGTCCTGTGACGGCAGTTTCAAAATAATGGAAGGAAGCGCCTAATGGAAAGAAGTCTGAAATTTTATTTTAATTGACCACACATCATATTTAATACCTGGCTGGAGTAGATCAGCAGAGCGAGAGCAGTACAACAGCAGCTCTGCAGCGCTCAGGGCTTCTATTCAGTTTCAGCAAGTCTGATCCAAATAATGCACAGCAAAAATTGGCAACAACACAATGTGGCACAAACTCCACATTAAAACCACAACAAAGTAAACGATACCTGTGCTCCAGGTGCTCCAATTCCCTTACTGATCATGAAAGATTCAAGAGTGAATATGTAATTGCTTAAGCCTTTGGAAGGGAGGATTGTTACTACACACAACTTGATCTTCAGCATTCATTTAACAGGTTAGAAATAAAATGCATTTAAAGGAAACTTGCTACTTAACAGTAGTAACAGTGAGTAACCTTACAATCTAAGTGATTCAGCACTTAACAGCAGGTCTTATTACCACCAGGCATGTGAGCAGTCATGACCATGCTTACCTGCAGTTGGTTTTCTGTTAGAACTAGTTCAGTAAGGCTTTCGCAGTCTCCAATTGAATCTGTTAGCTGAATAAGTTTGTTCTGATCAACCTTCAAAATAGAGAGCCTCCTCAATTTTCCTGGACAAAAGAACACATTTGTTTAGCTCAGTATCCTCCGATACCTGCTTTAATTTCAGAAAATCATTCTGCTGCAAAACTTTTAGAAAGTCTCTAACACAAATGAGATTTTTTTCAGGTAAAAAAAGAATTCAAGCAGTGCTTCACTTGGCGCTTGCACTATTTTTGCAGGTTTATAACATCACTGAATTCATATTCAATATAAATATTCATATTCAATACTGAAGCACATTAAATTGTATTAAAGTTGCAACCTGAAAGGTACCCCATGTAAATGTCAAGAACATGTCTACCCAAAGACCTATAAACAGGAGAAAATAATATATTTTTTCCTCAATTATACAATGTTTATTCATAAAGGAGTGTTCAGAAGATCACCTATGCCTACTCAGCCATAGTAAAAAAGGCTTGCACTGAAGTGACAGCCCAAACTCAAACAGGATCAAGGTCTCTTTGTCCTACAGAACCTATGACATGAAACCCAAGTTCATTATTCAGAATAGAAATGAAACTTCTTTGAAGGTCTTCTCCCCAGCAAGGACAAAATACTATTTCTGAGCAGAAAGCTCGCCTTGTTCTTCCGTGTATGTGGAAGAAATTTTTTACAGTGAGGGTGGTAAAACACTGGAACAGACTGCCCAGAGAGGTGGTAGATGCCCCATGCCTGGAAACATTCAAGGTCAGGGGCTCTCAGCAACCTGATCTAGTTGAAGATGTCCCTGCTCATGGCATGGGGGTTGGACTAGCTAACCTCTGAAAGTCCCTTCCAACTTAAAGTATTCTATGATTCTGCTCCTTTGTAGCAGAATGATCTTCGGTGCAAAGCAGAGCTGAAGCAAGCAGAGCCCAAGACAGAGAATTCGGGAGACATCACTAGCTGCTGACACCTCCCTGCCTGTCCCCACACTGTCCAAAATAGCTGTAAGAGGCTGGCACATCAAATTCACTGATGATGCTAAATCATGAAGAGACGGCTGATACACAGTAAGATAGCAACCTAAACAGAAACCCGAGGTTCAGCAAGGAGAAGTGCAGAGTCTGCACCCAGTCAGAGTAACCCCATGCACTGGTACAGGCTGGCATGTGATGGGCTGTACAAGAGCCCTGCTGGAAAGGACCTGGGGTTTATGGTGGGCACCAGGCTGAACATGAACTATCAGTGTACTCTCACCAGAAATAAACACTGGCTGGACTACATTAGGAGAATTATGGCCAGAAGATCAATGGAAGTTACTATATCCCACCTACTTGGCACCAGTGAGACCACACAATTATGCTCAGTTTCATGTCCTGTCCTGTCTTTCCCCATGACTCCCCAGTTCAAGTGAGATGGCTGATGGAGGCCCAGTACAAGGCTATTGAGATGATCAGGGCACACGTGAGCTGAGGCTGAGGGAGCTGCCTTTGTTGACTCCAGCAAGAAGGCAGCCATGGAGGCATCTAGGAACAGCCCACAACTACTTGAAGGACAGTTACTAAGATGACAGAGCCAAACTCTTCTCTGCAGTGGCAGGCGGGACAGCCCACAGCCACAAATCGAAGCATGGGAGGTCCCAGCTGGACATCAGAAGCAGCTTCTGCACTGGGAGGTGGTGCAGCACTGACACAGGCTGCCCTGGGGTGCTGGAGCCACCTCCGTTAGGGGCTTTAGAGACTTGGTGAGACACGGCCACAGCTGACCAGTCCTGCTGGTGTTGGGAAGAGCCCTGCCTTGAGGGCTCTACAGATTCACCAATTCAACCAATGATTCAGTCATCAGCTGAGCTCCTCCCAGTAGCTCCCACAGAGACCAGCAAGGTTCACTTCAACAACAATACCAGATTTTCCCCATTTTGCATAATAAGTTCCAATATTACACAAAAGGAATAAGTACTGCAACGTGAAAACTTTCCAGAAAAAAGCTGGTGAGTAGCAGAGAAACAATGCCTTGCTGACTACTTGTCACAACTACTGCAGGGGTAAAAACATTTACCTTGAAAAAAGGCATTGCTTCAGAAAATATTCCCCAGTTATTAAAACTGTTTTAAGGGGTCAGACACAGACAGGTTGTATTTTGGATCCTCAAGCGTGAAGAATAATGGGCTGAAGCTGGAACAGCCTTCCACTGCATTCAATAGAGGATTAATCGCATTGTCCAACTGAAGATAATTACACATCCCCCCTAAAAAGGATGTATTTTTTGTAGTGGCACTGTCCATCAGTCTTAGCAAGTGACCTACAGCACGTTACAAGCTAAAGTTTTACAATGTTAAAGAGTTATGATGGTGTCGTGGACACAGTAGGAACAGAAAGGATATATTAACTTTTATTTTGTTTGGGTAGGTATCAAGTAAGGAATAAAAAAGGATTACAAGGTAGTCATTACGCAGACAATTAAAGTTAAAATAATAGAGCTATGCGTTTCTTACTAAGCAAAAAAAAAAAAAGCTGAGACAAGCTCATCTCTTGCACAAAAAGACTTCAAAAGACTTGAAAACAAATGACTTCCAATTTACAGTGGATTAAATGGTTCTGTATGTTAGCATTCGCCTTGCACTTACCAATGCCATCAGGTAAGACCTGAAGTAAATTCTGAGAAACGAGCAAATCTGTTAACGAAGTCAGACCACTAATTTCTTCAGGAAGGCATTCCAATTTATTTTCAGAAACATCCAGACAAAGCAGGTTTTTCAGGTTTCCTACTTCCTGCGATACAAGACAAAAAAATTTAAGTCATGCCCAAGCACGTAACAAAGCAATTTGAAAAATGTACCATCGCAATGAAATTCCACAAAGAAAAACAATTCTCTGCATGACCTCTGAATTGGCCATTCTTTGTATGACCTCTAAATGCAGAAAAAAGTAAATAATTACATTTTACATATGATAAACCAACCAAGTGATTCAGTCCCAGTTTCTTATTCTAACTATTAAGACTGGCTTCAGTAGTCAGACAATGCTGAGCACACCCAGGCAAGCACCGGCCAAAACTGGAGTTTTCCTCAAGTAAAGACTGCAAAGTGTTTTTTCAGAACTACAGATTATCAACCTCCACATAATTAAAGTCTGCCCCTCCCAATTAACCCTAGGCAAATCAGGATTAGTCTCTCCTGGCTGATACAGCAACATGCCGTGACATCTAGGGATTTCATATCTTCACATCTCCCAACTGCAACAAATGCAGAAATAGGAATTGGGAGTGTTGCTCTAGCAAGCATATTTGAACTGCCAAGTTATACTGCCATCATCTATAATTATTAATGATTACCTAATTTTTTACAATGGTAATCCACCAATTAGCTTAAAAGTCTGACAGAGAAATATCTTTGTCCCTTTTAGCCATCAGAGCACCCTCCCATTCCTCATGCACACAGACACCCCTATACATGCTCTAGAATAGTTCTCATTTTAGTCATCCAAACCATCATTCAGAGAACAGAATGGCTGGGGCAGAAGTGTCCTTTACTTTTACATATATGAAATTTTCATACAGTGACAGCCTTGATCCTAACTCACAAAGATCGGTCCTTTTATTTTGGTAACATTTGCCTCTCAAGAGGATCTTCCACTAAACACACACACACACCCCCTTTATCCTACTAGTTCACCTTTTGGACATTAGGCAGAATACACAATAATGGCCAGCTTCAATAAAAACAGATGCTGAAGTCACACGACCTTTTATGAATGATCACCAGTGTTTAACTACATCATTAAAAAATTATTAGGCCAAGCCAACAACAACAAAGTCAGCAAAGCCCACTAAACTGTAACCAAGTTACACTGTTGATAATGAGATCAATACAGCAAACAACAGCAAAACGCACGAGGAACAGGAGAAAAAAGGTTTTGACTTGGCTGTAAAGGGAAAAGAGGGAAAAGAAACTGTCCCACATGTTATCACAGGGAATTTAGAGTGCTGTAAGCTTTAAATGCTAAGATCCCTCACCCCATGACTAATGTCAGATGGGGGATTTGCCTGCATAAATCTGAATTTCTATTTATGGCAACAGTTCTATTACTGTACTTCTCCCAAACACTGTATTTGAACAGAAGAAGATGACTGCAAAAAACTAACAATTCATCCTCAAAACTGTCAAAAATGCAATTTAGACAGACACAAAAGGTGAGGGTTAGCTCAGTCAACTAGTGGCTCCCTGATCATTGGGCCAGGACTGTAAACAGAGGATGTGTCATCCTATAAATTGAACAATGTGCCTATTAGGAAACAATTCCTTTGTCAAAATGTTTAAAAGAAAATGTCTGACAGCATATGATACCATGTACAATCCCTTGCAAAGGAGCTCATTAAGAGAAAACCCTTACACAACCAAAACCAAACCCAAGCAAAGTGAGCTGAGAAAACTATTTGATTTTAAATCACCTCCCTTTAGGTATGAATGAAAAGGTTTTCTTTTAAAAGCATCTTCAAAACATTATCAGTAGAGCATCTTTACCTGAGGTATTTCAGATAATTGGTTTCCATCCAACCAGAGGTCTTTAAGATTGAAAAGTGCACCAATTGTTTCTGGCTAGAACATAAAAAGTAATAATATTAAGTAGCCTAGGAGCTTCAAGCAAAAACCAAACAGCCACCCCGTAATCACAGACTGAGTAAACCAACCCTTACTCCAAGCACTATTTAGAGGTGCCACGGTTAAATGCAGCAAGGGTGACTGTAAGCATTTGGGAATTCCATCATACAAATTAATTGTTATAGCTTAACAAGCTACCATACTTTACCTGACATGCACTAACAAATTACATGCAGACTCCTAATCTTGCAAATCCAACACTTAATTGAGTCAGCTTAAGAGAGATGACAGATATCTTTCGGTAGATCTATCTGCCACAATGTCAGACACTGCAACCCTCAACAGTTTGCCTCAGCCCTTTCCCAAAGATTCCTGCTCCCACCCTGGAAATAGCTGAGCTTTCATCTGTGCTCAGCCCGTCCAGCTCTCTACAGAAGCCCATGTGTTCATTCTAACTGCAAGTGCAGACAAGAGTTTGTGCCCCTCCACTCCTTTTTTTTTTTTTTTTTTTTTCTTTTTTTCCTCTCCATAGAAGTCATTTGTGCAGTGCTCTCATTTTTAAGAGATCAGCTGCAGATTTCAGGGTAAATATTGTACTGAACAAGACCAAGCAGATATGGGAAGCACCAACTCACTGCCAAAATTCATCTGTACATATAAAAAGACTCTCCATCCATATATTTGTCTGTCTTCAATTTTGGACATCCTACAACCTATTTAATCTAAACGATGCGTAAAACAAGACCAACATGCACTTTCAGTGGCATGTTCTCTTACCAAGTGATACAGTTCATTGTTTCCTAAATCAAGTTCTTCTAGTCGCTGCAGCTGGGCAAGTGATCTGTGAGATAAGTCAAAACAAAACCACATCAGACTAAACCAACAGAAACCCCATGTATTTGAATGAGCTCATTTTACTGAAACTCATATTTCAAATTACAACGTATTGTAGACAGTTATTTTACTGGGCATAGACTATTTGCAGTAATATCTTACTGAAAAAATAGTTTGGTTTGTCAGCATAACTGTATACCCTTGAAACTTCTAACTTAGTATAGGCAATCAAATCATTACTCTTTATTTTAACCATCAGTCCCTTGGGGTGCACAATGCCACATAGTTTAGTATAGTTGATTAGATTTATTTTTAGGGGGAATTTACAGTTATGCAACTGGATAAAAGCTCCCCATTGTGATCCCATCTAACAGCATGACTCAAGACTCAGTAAATCCATCATTTATCTTCTCAACATGATCTATCCATTTCTGAAGTGTTTCAGGTTGGATTTCAGAATGCAAAAAGGATGTAAAAGTTCTCTGAGCATGAACAGACACAGAGGTCCAAGGTCCATCCTTCTACTTCAAAAGCAGCCTGTTGCAGAGCTCTGGCTTACCTTCCCCAAAGCCGCAGTAGCTCAAAAGCCAGCGAGACTTGTCAGCTACATTACTGACAGAATTTTCCAGAAGCAATAAAATTGTCAACATTTGTGATGCTTCATTCTGACACCACGTGGCAAAACCTAGCAATTCGTATCTTCTGACCACTGACATTTAAAGTGCCTCGTGGCCCATAGCTGTAGCAGCCGCAACCAAGGTATTGGGTAGATTGACAGGAAAAAAGGACCCCCAAAGCAACTGGGGAAGAGATTCTGATTAAAATAGGTTACATGTATTACAATATCTATTAGATTATCTAAACAAGCAGAACAGGAGTCACCAAAAGTCTTGCAAGAAGGAGCCAGGAAGTAAAGGAAGGAAACTCCTTCACTAGAGAAAGAAGAGGCTTCTTCCAAGCAGCTAAAAAGGATCCCCAAAATGTAAGATACCAGATTAATCTTAGAAAAGACCACCAATTCCTCTGCCACAATACAGACAGCACAGAGACCTCTAGATATCTTTTATTCCCCCAAAATCAAGGTGGGTGGAGTCAGACTTCAGACATCAGTAGGCCTAGTTTGTCACCAAGGCTTTGATCTCCAGGTTTTGGAAGCTTCTGGTTACTTAGCTCTGAACACGAATGCTTATTTAAATGCTATGAAGGTCTAGAGTGGAAATCTCCGAGATCCTATTACCCTACTTTCACAGTTATGAAATTTCAGCATGAGAACAACCCAAACCACCACTCCCACCACTGACGTGCTCGTTCAATGCATGCAGGAAGAAATGGTTGGTGCTGCTGTATTTTATACAAAGTATTTTTATAGAGCAAAACCAATCAACACAGACTGCAGGCTCCTGCTACTAACCAAGTACAACTAGAAGTAACGGATGTACCTAGGTGTTGCTAAAACAAAGCTGTATCTCATACACGTCAATCAGCACTGAATATTTTTTCTAGCTGTCATTCAGTTTCATATGTTAGGAGATTTTAAGAATAAGAACGTTTTCTGTTAATAGAATCAAATACATGAAATGTCACTTACTCAGGTAAATATGTCAGCAAATTTTCTCTAAGTTCCAGTGAAGCCAGGTTATAAAGACTAAAAAAAAAAAAAACAAAACCCCACACCTTAATGAAATAATGAAATCTTACTTTTTATATTCCACATGTTCAGAAAAAAAAGTGTGTGTTTATACAGTTTAAAACAAAATTGCTGTGAACTGATTTTTTTTTGTTGTTGTTTTAATTCAATCAGAACATTGCGTGAAAGGAAGCATACAAAGACTGGAAGTTTTTGCTTGTTTCTCTGTGATACTTCAACACGTAAGAGCTAGAAAGTAAACAGACAAAACACAGATTTCCATTTGTTGAAAGGTCAGTAGTTGCAAGTTACTGAACAAGGCATACTCATATGAATTGCATTTACTTACTCGCTTTCAGAATCTGGCGTGGGCTACCGAAGTTACAGAGCATCAGGTAAACCCATCACTGTTGGAACAACACCGTGCTCATTACTGTAAGTGACATTATGCTACTAAGCAGCTCTCTTACTCCATATCCCAGGCTTTTACTAACATCACCATAGCAACATTGAGATTTTTCAGGGGTTTATTTATGACTAAATGGAACACAAAGAGTCAGACATTATCCCAACACTATAATCTCCTCTAATCCTCCAGTGTCCCAGGGAAAAACAAAAATCAGATACGATGACTGCAAATAAGTAGTTTCCTCCAACAGAATATGTTCTGTCCTGGTGTGCAGGGAAGGGGGACAGCGTGCTAGGCCTTAAATAAAACCTAGATTAGAAAAGGAATTCCATTAAATTTGAAACACGTGTTAAATCTAAACCCAAAATGGTTTCATTTGTACACCTTAGGAAAAAAACCCAAGCCCATGCGCTCAGACCACACAAAATTGAAATTTTTTTTTCACTTCAAACAATACCAAAATACTGAATTACAGGATCACTAGTTGGCCCCAGTAAAAAAGCAGCTAATAAGATGAATAAAACTAAAGAAAAACCTTCATATTGCAACTCCAATACAGCCATTTAAGCAGGGAAAGCAACGTAACTGATGTAATGAGTTATTAAAGAGGAAAGATTTTTCATGGATTGACTTTGGATGGTATCTGTAAAATACATCTTTATTTCAAGTACCTATTTCGTACTGCATTCAGAAAACAGTGAATAACACCTCATGGGAGCTTTGATTACTACCTCAGCGATCCTCTCCAGCTTTTAAAATAAGCACATTTTACCCAATGGGTTCTGTATTCCTCCAGAAGAAATGCAGTTAAAACATACCATTTAGGTGAACATATTCTAGTAGAAGCCTGTTACAAATTCAATTAAAAGATAAGTGAAAATAACTCAGCAACTGCCGCTCAAATTCATTTGACAGAGACAAGGTAATAAGGAAGCCATCATTCCAACGACACAAGAGAAAACTCTCACATAAAATTTTAATACTATAAAACACAAGTCAAGATGGGACATGGTAACCGACATCCTCATGGAAACCAAACCACTGAATGGGGAGAGGGAAGGGGTTATGGAAAACCATTTTTCTCCAAGAGGAAGACAGGTCTCCTCTCACATTGCCACCCACAGACTACCATTACATTTTTGTTTACAGGTTTTCTAGAAACCTAGTCCATTCTTCCTTTGAATTTTACACTTTCTCTTGAAGTTCATATTAGGCGAGGCCCGTGATTCACTTTTATCAAAAGCATACAAAAAGAATGCACACATCGCCAAGCCGCCTCGTAATCTTGCGTTTACAGATCACCCCGCATCTACTTATCTCCGTCCCCATCACACTGAAGTGTCGATGAGTAAAATGGTGCAATCTCTTAATTTCTCTTCTTACATCAGACACTACTTTGGCTGTGGTTAAACAAAAATCTGTGTCAGCAAAACCATGTTCAACAGCAAGAACTTGCAAACCACCATCTTAAACCAGCCTCGCCGTATCATTAAACTGGGGCAGGGCAGTGAATCAGCTCAGGGAATTGATCCTGCTTAAAAATAACCCAGCGAAAAGAGTAACGCAGATCCCTAATTCAACACAGAATAAATCCCCTTAAACACCTGGGCCAATACAACTGCCAAGAAGGTGCAAGGCAGGCATCTGTACTGCATAAGCCAGCAGCGCTGAGGACTCACTGGGTAGCTGTGCCCTTGTGGGCACCCACCAACAGCTGTCTTTGCATCCAACTGTGTGCCAACTCGGGACGATCACACTCCCAGGCTAGGTTCTCTTTTTATGGGAATCAGCTACCTAGGGAATTACATTTTTATCTCTAAGGATGCAGCTTTCTGGAGGACAAATGCTTTATTCTACAGCTATTCTCACCCACAGTATGCTCACAACTATAACTCTACCCTGGAACAAAACAAAGACACTGCCCTCCACCCCTTTAATCTACCTTTTCTACTTCTTCCAAGGTCTTGAGCCCAAACCCAACGTAAGCAGACCCCAATAGGCAAAATGAAGTTTCCCACCAAATAACGTAAAATAGAGACTAAGTCTATGAAGCTTATACCAGCAAAGCTGCCCCATTAGACTGAAGTATTATGTTTAAGGTGGATCTATCTGAAAGGGAGGCCAGAAAACAAGAGGAAATTTTTGACTCATTACTCTTAAATTTCGACTAGTTACAGAAGCTGCTCCCAGCAAACCTATGTGTTGCAATTTAAAATCGGAAAATGTGGCAGTTATCATCTAAAATAGCATCACATAAGAGGCATGCTGATGTATTGTAGCACAAATCTCCGACACATTACAGAGCTATAGCTCTTCCTTAAATTTACCAATAGGTTCTTAACATGTTGTATGTTCACTAACATTTTTCTGGTTTAAAGTATGTTAAGAAACAGGATTTTTAGTCATTTGCAAGAAATATCCTACATTTGTTGCTATTTTTCAAGTATATTTTCTGATTAAATAACACATTCTCTCCAGAAAATGTAATTCTTCCTCTTCTCAACTACAAATAGAGATTTTTCACAATATACTAAATGAAATAATTTCTTCTTTTCCCTCTACTCTTAATTTTATGGGTGCACTGTTAGTCAAGAGTCTTTCCGAAGTCTCCAAAAGGACACCTAGGAGAGAAAACCTATTGCAGGGTTACCTGTTTTGATCCATAAAACACAAAAGCAACAGCAATCTATAGTCTACTGGGACAGGAGACACCGTTCCACCAGCGGCCGTTCACCAACTGCATTTAGAAAAACCAATGCACCATAGGGCACGGCAGGCTGCTCTCCAGCACAAACAGTCCTTGCTCTCCCCCAAAAAAACCCAACAGAAGATGTACAAGCAAAATGTCACCTACATTCTAAAGGGGGGGGGGAACTTAAGTACTTTTCCAAAGACTACTATCATAAGAAGTTATTTCATAGAAGCTTGTAAAAAGCAGTAATCCTGTAATAATTCTCACAATAAAAGCTACCACACACACCTTGAACATTGAGCATGTGTGTGAAATTACTGAGCACAAGGCAACAGCCAAACCAGGCAGAGGATGCAGGAACTGAAATAATTACAAAGTTTTCCATCTCAGCATTCCAAATGATTTCTGGTGTAAGGGTGGAACCAGTAAAATTTAAAGGTACAACATGGCTAAAATGCCATTTTCAGTACAAATCAGATATGCTTATTCAGTGCTCTACCTAAAGGAATGGTAGGTATTGGTATTAATCATATGAGCTAGAAGAACGAAAAGAAGAATGTGAAATCAGTAATTAAGAACAAGACTCATAGCAACAAAGTAGACCCTACACGCTGGAAGTGTCTTTCCTGAGCATTCCTGTCAGGATTTGAGAGATAAACTTGCAATCCAACACAGACTACAGATAGGGAACACCGCAAATACTCCTTCATGTCAACCGCAGTGGTCTCCTCCAAAATAAAGGTAAGACTAGAACCAGTCACTAAGATCGGAACAAAGCATGCTCCTCCTCTTCCAAAACAAGTCAGTTTTTCTTTGGATTAATTACAAAGAGATTATCAGTAGCAACATGCCCTAAGAAACAATGATTTCAAAAGCAGAAGACTCTCTGGACAACAGCAATTCACTGCAATAGGTAAAACATAACTGCAGTTTAAAAAAAAAAAAAAAAAAAAAAAAAAAAGAAAAAAAAAAAAAGAGACAGAGAGAGATGTTCCCCAGTTACCTCAGATGAAATTACATTTTCAGTGTACCACATACATTAAATAGACTCCGTCTTGTGATGTTGTAAAATAGAAAGCTGAAATGAGTTATCCTAGTCCTTTACCAGGGACAGCTGCATCATTCCCCTATTCAAGGGGACAGAAAGGCAGCCTTAAGAGTGACAACAGACAACGCTATATATCCCATTTTATCCAGTCCCTGCAACAGGACTGGGAACACCCAATTCCTTAGGGTACACCAGCAAAGGCTTCTGAGGAAAGCACTGGGAAGCACAGTCAAACATATACTATTTTCTTGTGAAAATGAAGTTAAAAATACAAAGGTGGAAAGAGAAATGTGGAAAAAGCTAGGAGAAAAATGAAGATAGATGATAAAAGGGCTAATATAAAAGCTAAAGGTGCTTTGTCAATAAAAGCTGGACAACAGCCTTCTCTTATTTGAGTAATAGAAGTCACAGATTTTGACCTTACCTCAAGAGTACCACACAGCTGAACATGCAAGACAAGAAGTCAGGCTTTGGGAAACAAGGAAGCAAAGCTGGAAGAGAGGAAGATATAAAGCACCTGCAGAAATGCATGGCCCCATCTGCACCAGCAAGTTTCAGCTGGGTAGGGGAAAACAAAATCCCAAATGTAGTTTTTCCTCACATTTGTAAGACTGCAAAAAGAAGGGAAAGACAGGAGAACAGGCATGGTCCCCATATTTACACAGAACAAGGGAAGGTCCTACACAATAAAGATGGGCTAAGGTGATAACGTGGTACAGATTTTGAATTTGGTCTGGTATTACATTTTTTTATGCAGCAGTAGTGATGGCTACAGAACACAGTCCAAAGATGCAGCACACAGAAATGAGATACGAAGTCCACATTCTTGCTATTTCCATCAGTTCCGAAGGACTTCAGTTCACTGGGCC